CTTCTCTTACCACCCCCCTCCCCCTGTTTTTATGGTATACACTTTATTATACATGGTTATACAGTTACATATTTGATTGTTTACAAAAAGGGAGCATTAAGAGGAAATATGGGGAATTTTGTTTCATAGAGGCTGTAGATTTCCTCGAACTGCTCCTCCGACGCCGGGCAGGAACCGAGGACATAGCGGGCATTCCCCCTCTGGATCGCCACACTGAGGCGCTGAAAGATAGACTTGTTGCCCGTTCCGAGCCTACCACCGTGCCCCCAGCCTACCACACCGCCCCAGCCTACCACACCGCCCCCAGCCTACCACGCCGCCCCAGCCTACCACACCGCCCCAAGCCTACCACGCCGCCCCCAGCCTACCACGCCACCCCAGCCTACCACGCCGCCCCCAGCTACCACACCGCCCCCAGCCTACCACGCCGCCCCAGCCTACCACACCGCCCCCAGTCTACCACACCGCCCCAGTCTACCACACTACCCCCAGCCTACCACGCCGCCCCCAGCCTACCACACCGCCCCCAGCCTACCACGCCGCCCCCAGCCTACCACGCCGCCCCCAGCCTACCACGCCGCCCCCAGCCTACCACACCAGCCTACCACCGTGCCCCAGCCTACCACGCCGCCCCCAGCCTACCACGCCGCCCCCAGCCTACCACGCCGCCCCCAGCCTACCACACCAGCCTACCACCGTGCCCCCAGCCTACCACACCCCCCCCAGCCTACCACGCCGCCCCCAGCCTACCACCGTGCCCCCAGCCTACCACACCCCCCCAGCCTACCACGCCGCCCCCAGCCTACCACACCGCCCCCAGCCTACCACACCGCCCCCAGCCTACCACACCAGCCTACCACACCGCCCCCAGCCTACCACACCACCCCCAGCCTACCACACCGTCCCCAGCCTACCACACCCCCCCCCAGCCTACCACCCACCCCCCAGCCTACCACCCCACCCCCCAGCCTACCACCCACCCCCCAGCCTACCACCCCACCCCCCAGCCTACCATCCCACCCCCCTAGCCTACCACCCCACCCCCAGCCTACCACCCCACCCCCCAGCCTACCACCCCACCCCCCAGCCTACCACCCCACCCCCCAGCCTACCATCCCACCCCCTAGCCTACCATCCCACCCCCCAGCCTACCACCCCACCCCCAGCCTACCACCCCACCCCCCAGCCTACCACCCCACCCACCAGCCTACCACCCCCACCCCCCAGCCTACCACCCCACCCCCCAGCCTACCACCCCACCCCCCAGCCTACCACCCCACCCCCCAGCCTACCACCCCACCCACCAGCCTACCACCCCACCCCCCCAGCCTACCACCCCACCCCCCAGCCTACCACCCCCCCCCCCACAAAAACACAAGATAATTAAACCAAGAGAAAAACACTTGAGTCCAACCCGCGGTGGATAGGTCACCCAATCCTTTACCCACCTCATCCACCATCCTCATCCACCATCCTCATCCTCTTCTACAATTTCTACTACTCATCCTTCCCCCCCCCCCCCTCCACCTCCCCTCTTTTCCATGTCATTTGGGTCTGGAGGCGAAGGACCAGTCTTTAGGTCTCCCCAGACCTGTCTTGGCGTTGGTCTTCGGTAATGGACCTCAAAAGCTGCTTCATGTTGGCCTAAACTGCCTCATAAGCTGTCTCGTAAGCTGCCTCATAAACTGCCTCATAAACTGCCTCATAAACTGCATCATAAGCTGCCTCATAAACTGCCTCATAAGCTGCCTCATAAACTGCCTCATAAACTGCCACATTAACTGCCTCATAAACTGCATCATAAGCTGCCTCATAAACTGCCTCATAAGCTGCCCCATAAGCTGCCTCATAAACTGCCTCATAAACTGCCTCATAAGCTGCCTCATAAACTGCCTCATAAGCTGCCTCATAAACTGCCTCATAAGCTGCCTCATAAACTGCCTCATAAACTGCCTCATAAACTGCCTCATAAGCTGCCTCATAAACTGCCTCATAAGCTGCCTCATAAACTGTCTCATAAACTGCCTCATAAGCTGCCTCATAAGCTGCCTCATAAGCTGCCTCATAAACTGCCTCATAAGCTGCCTCATAAACTGCCTCATAAGCTGCCTCATAAACTGTCTCATAAACTGCCTCATAAGCTGCCTCATAAGCTGCCTCATAAACTGCCTCATAAACTGCCTCATAAACTGCCTCATAAACTGCCTCATAAGCTGCCTCATAAACTGCCTCATAAACTGCCTCATTTCCGTCCTCAGTGGCACAGAATTATATACAACATCTATAAACGAAACGAATATATACAACTACTAACAAATAAATACAAGCAAAGATGTACAGGCTTCGTCTTCGTCCGGGCTCAGAGAAACACGTCCACAGACGAGGCTGGGGACGTAGAACCCTAGATATGGTCCACAGGTAATGGAACAGGTAGTCACTGTTGTGAAGCTCGGAGCAGCATTTCAGCTTCGGGGGAGTCGAACCCTGGGTCTCCAGGTGTCAGAAACGACCTTAAAACCATCAAAAGATTTATAGGCAATTTCCTCTGCTATCTGACAGCTCTGGATTATCTCCAATATACTGTAAATGTATTTACAGTGTGTGAGGGAGAGTTGAGTGTGTGAGGAAGAGTTGAGTGTGTGAGGGAGAGTTGAGTGTGTGAGGAAGAGTTGAGTGTGTGAGGAAGAGTTGAGTGTATGAGGAAAGAGAGTGTATGAGGCGGTAGTGAGTGAAGCAATAGGTGTATCTAGAGAAATCTTCTCCAAGAGCACTCATCCTTATAAGGCAAATCACATAAAGACTTCTATATTAACTAGTTCCTCTTACCACCCTGATGCCCCTGTTAGTAAAATAGGCACCTGGGTGTTAGTCAGCTGTCTCGGGCTGCTTCCTGGGGGTGGAGGCCTGGTCGAGGACCGGGCCGCGGGGACACTAAAAAAGCCCCGAAATCATCTCAAGATAATCTTAAGATAAAGATAAAACCCTCATATATAACCTTGAGTCATATAGGAGTCCCCAGCTACGAAGCTTTAGGAGTGACTAATCCCCTTCACCTCCTAATCCGTCTTTTAATACTAAGCTTCAAGCAAATTATCTTTGAATCTTTGGATTGCCTGATTTTCTCCTTTATTAAATAATATTATTATATTTATTGTTAAATATTAAAAAATAATATTTTATTTATTATTAAATATTAAAAATAATATTTTTTTATTGTTGATTATTAAAAAAAATATTGAATTTTGAATCAATAAAATTACTTTATTTATTTGTTTATAAATTGGTTCACATTAACGCGATAAACATATTTATTCGAGAAATTATTTCGAGTTTCTTTGAAAATTTAATAAAATTGCGGTTTGTAACACCGTAACACCTGTTCCTTCAGGTGTTTTCCCAGGGCACGACCTCCAGGGCACGGCCTCCAGGGCACGGCCACCAGGGGCACGGCCTCCGGGGCACGGCCTCCAGGGCAAGGCCTCCATGGCACGGCCACCAGGGGCACGGCCTCCAGGGCATGACCTCCAGGGCACGGCCTCCAGGGCATGACCACCAGGGCATGACCTCCAGGGCACGGCCTCCAGGGCACGGCCTCCAGGCCACGGCCTCCAGGGCACGGCCTCCAGGGCATGACCTCCAGGGCAAGGCCTCCAGGGCACGGCCTCCAGGGCACGGCCTCCAGGGGCACGGCCACCAGGGCACGGCCTCCAGGGCACGGCCTCCAGGGCATGACCCCAGGGCACGGCCACCAGGGCACGGCCTCCAGGGCACGGCCTCCAGCACGGCCTCCAGGGCACGACCTCCAGGGGCACGGCCACCAGTTCACGGCCTCCAGGGCATGACCTCCAGAGCCCGGCCTCCAGGGCACGGCCTCCAGGGCACGGCCTCCAGGGCACGCCCTCCAGGGCACGGCCTCCAGGGCACGGCCTCCAGGGCACGGCCTCCAGAGCCCGGCCTCCAGGGCACGGTCTCCAGGGCACGGCCTCCAGGGCACGGCCACCAGTTCACGGCCTCCAGGGCACGGCCTCCAGGGCACGGCCACCAGTGCACGGCCTCCAGGGCATGACCTCCAGTGCCCGGCCTCCAGGGCACGGCCTCCAGGGCACGGCCTCCAGGGCACGGCCTCCAGGGCACGGCCTCCAGAGCCCGGCCTCCAGGGCACGGCCTCCAGGGCACGGCCTCCAGGGCACGGCCACCAGTTCACGGCCTCCAGGGCATGACCTCCAGAGCCCGGCCTCCAGGGCACGGCCTCCAGGGCACGGCCTCCAGGGCACGGCCTCCAGGGCACGGCCACCAGTTCACGGCCTCCAGGGCATGACCTCCAGAGCCCGGCCTCCAGGGCACGGCCTCCAGGGCACGGCCTCCAGGGCACGACCTCCAGGGGCACGGCCACCAGTTCACGGCCTCCAGGGCATGACCTCCAGAGCCCGGCCTCCAGGGCACGGCCTCCAGGGCACGGCCTCCAGGGCACGGCCACCAGGGGCACGGCCTCCGGGGCACGGCCTCCAGGGCAAGGCCTCCATGGCACGGCCACCAGGGGCACGGCCTCCAGGGCATGACCTCCAGGGCACGGCCTCCAGGGCATGACCACCAGGGCATGACCTCCAGGGCACGGCCTCCAGGGCACGGCCTCCAGGCCACGGCCTCCAGGGCACGGCCTCCAGGGCATGACCTCCAGGGCAAGGCCTCCAGGGCACGGCCTCCAGGGCACGGCCTCCAGGGGCACGGCCACCAGGGCACGGCCTCCAGGGCACGGCCTCCAGGGCATGACCCCCAGGGCACGGCCACCAGGGCACGGCCTCCAGGGCACGGCCTCCAGCACGGCCTCCAGGGCACGACCTCCAGGGGCACGGCCACCAGTTCACGGCCTCCAGGGCATGACCTCCAGAGCCCGGCCTCCAGGGCACGGCCTCCAGGGCACGGCCTCCAGGGCACGCCCTCCAGGGCACGGCCTCCAGGGCACGGCCTCCAGGGCACGGCCTCCAGAGCCCGGCCTCCAGGGCACGGCCTCCAGGGCACGGCCTCCAGGGCACGGCCACCAGTTCACGGCCTCCAGGGCACGGCCTCCAGGGCACGGCCACCAGTTCACGGCCTCCAGGGCATGACCTCCAGAGCCCGGCCTCCAGGGCACGGCCTCCAGGGCACGGCCTCCAGGGCACGGCCTCCAGGGCACGGCCTCCAGAGCCCGGCCTCCAGGGCACGGCCTCCAGGGCACGGCCTCCCGGGCACGGCCACCAGTTCACGGCCTCCAGGGCACGACCTCCAGAGCACGGCCTCCAGGGCACGGCCTCCAGGGCACGGCCTCCAGGGCACGGCCTCCAGGGCACGGCCACCAGTTCACGGCCTCCAGGGCATGACCTCCAGAGCCCGGCCTCCAGGGCACGGCCTCCAGGGCACGGCCTCCAGGGCACGGCCTCCAGGGCACGGCCTCCAGGGCATGACCTCCGGAGCCCGGCCTCCAGGGTACGGCCTCCAGGGCACGGCCTCCAGGGCACGGCCTCCAGGGCACGGCCTCCAGGGCACGGCCACCAGGGCACGGCCACTAGGGCACGGCCTCCAGGGCACGACCTCCAGGGGCACGGCCACCAGGGCACGGCCTCCAGGGCACGGCCTCCAGGGCACGGCCTCCAGGGCACGGCCTCCAGGGCACGGCCTCCAGAGCCCGGCCTCCAGGGCACGGCCTCCAGGGCACGGCCTCCAGGGCACGACCTCCAGGGGCACGGCCACCAGGGCACGGCCACTAGGGCACGGCCTCCAGGGCACGACCTCCAGGGGCACGGCCACCAGGGCACGGCCTCCAGGGCACGGCCTCCAGGGCACGGCCTCCAGGGCACGGCCTCCAGAGCGGGACATACTTGAAGACTTCATTAAAACTTTAGCGTCACGGGCGCCAAGTGGAAAAGTTATAAGTGTAAGCCTTCAGGTCCCCTTGTGGGTGAGGGCCCTGTTACTCCCCGAGGTGTGGTTAATGCCAGGCACCCACTTATACTTGGCCACACTTCCCTAGACACCCACTTATACCTGCCTACAGCCCCCATGCAGAATCCCACTTATTCTTGGCCACAATCCCCAGACATCCACTTATACTTAGTCCTCACACACACACACACTTATACTTGGTGAGTATGAGTGTGTGTGACTGTGAGCATGTCCCCAGATACACTTCCCAGACAAGGACTTAGAGTGTGTATATGAGAGGCACTTGGAGTGGTTTGCATATGTCAAACACCTGAAGTAAATAATAATTTTATTCCGTAAAATCCGTAAATTACGCGAATTTACGTAAAATTAAATTTTAATAATAAAAGGATAGACTGGGTGAAAATAAACAGGGAACTGACAAACATTAAATGGGAAAATTTTCTAAGTAATAAAAATCCTACACAAAGAATAGGAAAACTGACTTCTGAAGCCTATGAAGTCTGTCTGAAACATGTTGACCAGACCACACACTAGAAATTGAAGGGACGACGACGTTTCGGTCCGTCCTGGACCATTCTCAAGTCGATTCGGTCCAGGACGCACCGAAACGTCGTCGTCCCTTCAATTTCTAGTGTGTGGTCTGGTCAACATACTTCAGCCACGTTATTGTGACTCATCGCCTGTCTGAAACATGTTCCTTTGAGGAAAGCCAGAAAGTGGTCCAATGTAGAAAGAGAACGCGGACGACACTACAAAAGGAAAAAATAATTGGAAATGCTTAAGCAGACACGACTCTCCATACGAAGAAGAAATAATTTAAACAGGGAGATTGAAGAAGTCGAACAGAGACATAAGCATTCCTATCAGACTGAAGAAAGATAACTAGAACAGAGAGCAATTCATGAAGTAAAGACAAACCCAAAATATTTCTTCACATATACTGAATTAAAAGGAAAACCACTGCCAGTATTGGACCTATTCGTATTAGTGAAGGTTCATACACTGAGGATGACAAAGAAATTAGTGAAATCCTGAAAAAGCAGTATGAGGACATGTTTAGCACTCCGATACTCAGCATGAAAGTGGAAGATCCAGACAACTTCTTTATGAGTGATATCCAAACCCCTGTAAATATAACTGATATCAACACGAGCGTGACAGATTTTGAAAGAAAAATTAACAATATGCCCATGCACTCAACTCCGGGGCCAGACTCATGGAGTTCAATATTTATAATGAAATGAATGCAGATGTGGTGTCAGCCATACAAATGATAGGATGGATTACGAGAACTTTCAAATCCAGATCCCATCACAATGGTTGTACTCTTCAAATCACTTGTGTTGTCCCGTCTTGAGTACTGCTCAGTACTCACTTCCCCTTTCAGAGCAGGACAGATTGCTGAAATAGAGGGAATACAGAGAACATATACGGCACGCATAGACGAGATAAAGCACCTAAATTATTGGGATCGTCTCAAAGCTCTCCAAATGTACTCACTAGAAAGGAGATGAGAGAGATACCAAATAATATACACATGGAAGATACTGGAGGGCCAGGTCCCAAATCTACACAGTAAAATAACAGCATACTGGAGTGAACGATATGGAAGAAAATGCAGAATAGAACCAGTGAAGAGCAGAGGTGCCATAGGCACAATCAGAGAACACTGTATAAACATCAGAGGTCCAGTGAAGAGCAGAGGTGCCATAGGCACAATCAGAGAACACTGTATAAACATCAGAGGTCCAGTGAAGAGCAGAGGTGCCATAGGCACAATCAGAGAACACTGTATAAACATCAGAGGTCCAGTGAAGAGCAGAGGTGCCATAGGCACAATCAGAGAACACTGTATAAACATCAGAGGTCCAGTGAAGAGCAGAGGTGCCATAGGCACAATCAGAGAACACTGTATAAACATCAGAGGTCCACGGTTGTTCAACGTCCTACCAGCGAGCATAAGAAATATTACAGGAACAACCGTGGACATCTTCAAGAGGAAACTAGATAGTTTCCTCCAAGAAGTGCCGGACCAACCAGGCTGTGGTGGGTATGTGGGCCTGCGGGCCGCTCCAAGCAACAGCCTGGTGGACCAAACTCTCACAAGGGGAGTAGAAGAACTCCCAGAACCCCATCAAGCAGGTATATATGAAGAGCACCTGGAGTGCATGAGTTAACTCCCCTTGCTCGTCTCCATTCATATATGCTGAAACAGGAACAGCTGTAGAGGTATAGACACGGTATATCACTGCTATAGAATTTCAATATTGGTAACGCTCGGATATATTGTTCTGCAACAACACAAAGGTGTTGTTCCAGTACAACACCTTTGGTACAACACATAGGTACTAGTAAACACTATAAACCACACAGGTATTTCGACTACTCTGGGTTAAACAGTGTTATTTAGTAAAAAATTATCAGTGCTGAGGACTGATTATAAATGCTGAGGATTGATTAAGAACGCTGAAGATTGATTAAGAACGCTGAGGATTGATTAAGAATGCTGAGGATTGATTAAGAATGCTGAGGATTGATTAAGAACGCTGAGGATTGATTAAGAATGCTGAGGATTGATTAAGAACGCTGAGGATTGATTAAGAATGCTGAGGATTGATTAAGAATGCTGAGGATTGATTAAGAACGCTGAGGATTGATTAAGAACGCTGAGGATTGATTAAGAACGATGAGGATTGATTAAGAACGATGAAGATTGATTTGGAACGATGTTACTCAAAATAAACAGGGGTTCGTTTCTCACACAGGGCAGAGATGTGTAAACATATATTCTATCGCCTGATACCTCTGTTCACCTGGTAGTAACTATTTTCCCAGGATATGACAACTGTTGTAGGGCTGGGATCTGGGCTAGGACTGAGCTAGGACTCTATTTGGCTTTCTGTACATGACAATGGCATCCCAGCTGGAGCTAGGAGCCACCTCACCACCTCCCAGCAACCCTCCTGGAGCTAGGAGCCACCTCCCAGCAACACTCCCGGAGCTAGGAGTCACCTCACCACCTCCCAGCAACACTGCCGGAGCTAGGAGTCACCTCACCACCTCCCAGCAACCCTCCCGGAGCTAGGAGCCACCTCACCATCTCCCAGCAACCCTCCTGGAGCTAGGAGCCACCTCACCACCTCCCAGCAACCCTCCCGGAGCTAGGAGCCATCTCACCACCTCCCAGCAACCCTCCCGGAGCTAGGAGCCATCTCACCACCTCCCAGCAACCCTCCCGGAGCTAGGAGCCACCTCACCATCTCCCAGCAACCCTCCCGGAGCTAGGAGCCATCTCACCACCTCCCAGCAACACCCCTGGAGCTAGGAGTCACCTCACCACCTCCCAGCAACCCTCCCGGAGCTAGGAGCCACCTCCCAGCAACACTCCCGGAGCTAGGAGCCACCTCCCAGCAACACTCCCGGAGCTAGGAGTCACCTCACCACCTCCCAGCAACACTCCCGGAGCTAGGAGTCACCTCACCACCTCCCAGCAACACCCCTGGCGCTAGGAGCCATCTCACCACCTCCCAGCAACCCTCCCGGAGCTAGGAGCCACCTCACCACCTCCCAGCAACACCCCTGGCGCTAGGAGCCACCTCAGTCTCTCGGGAGAACTATAAACATGAACCAGGATGCTCACGGTGCTTAAAATTTGCATACTGTAAATCAGGCTGTCAATCACAGCACCGCTGCACGGTAGACAGACCCGTCACCCGGAGACAGACTCCTCCTCCTCCTCCTCCTAGGCTTCCTAGCTGCTGGGCAGCTAGGAGGGAAGCTCTCAGCTCTACTACCGCTGCTGACGGGGGGAAGCCAGTGACGAGAAGCATTTCAAAAGGGACACTTATGAAGCACTCAATGAGTGCTTCGTAAGTGACACTTGGGAAGCACTTACGAATAGAGGGGAGATCTAAGCCTCTGTGATTATGTCGCACCTATAATGTGTGCTGGGATATATGGCAAGAAGTTGGGATAGGAGCACGAAGAACTGGGATATGAGCATAAGGAGGTGGGATATGAGGTTAAAGAGCTGGGATATGAGGTTAAAGAGCTGGGATATGAGGACAAGGAGGTGGGATATGAGGTCAAGGAGCTAGCTGGGATATGAGGATAAGGAGGTGGGATATGAGGACAAGGAGCTGAGATATAAGGACAAGGAGCTGAGATATAAGGACAAGGAGCTGGGATATGAGAACAAAGAGCTGGGATACGAGGACAAGGAGCTGGGATATGAGGACCAGGAGCTCAGATAGGAGGACAAGGAGCTGGGATATGAGAACAAGGAACTGGGATATGAGGCCAAGGAGCTGGGATATGAGGACAAGAAGCTGAGATATAAGGACAAGGAGCTGAGATATGAGGACAAGGAGCTGAGATATGAGGACAAGGAGCTGGGATATGAGAACAAGGAACTGGGATATGAGGCCAAGGAGCTGGGATATGAGGACAAGAAGCTGAGATATAAGGACAAGGAGCTGAGATATGAGGACAAGGAGCTGGGATATGAGGCCAAAGAGCTTGGATATGAGGACAAGGAACTGTGATATGAGGACAAGGAGCTGGGATATGAGGACAAGGAGCTGGGATATGAGGACAAGGAGCTGAGATATGAGGACAATGAGCTGGGATATGATTACAAGGAGCTGGGATATGAGGACAAGGAGCTGAGATATGAGGGCAAGGAGCTGGGATATGAGGACAAGAAGCTGGGGTATGGGGACAAGGAGCTGGGATATGAAGACAAGGAGCTGGGATATGAGGACAAGAAGCTGGGGTATGGGGACAAGGAGCTGGGATATGAGGTCAGAGCTGGGATATGAGGACAATGGGTTGGGATATGAGGGACAAGGAGCTGGTATATGAGGACAAGGAGCTGGGATATGAGGACAAGGAGCTGGGATATGAAGACAAGGAGCTGAGATATGAGGACAATGAGCTGGGATATGAGGACAAGGAGCTGGGATATGAGGACAAGGAGCTGAGATATGAGGACAATGAGCTGGGATATGAGGACAAGGAGCTGGGATATGAGGCCAAGGAGCTGGGATATGAGGACAAGGAGCTGGGATATGAGGCCAAGGAGCT